AGGGAGCCCGATGTGGGACTCGATCCCGGGACTCCAGGATCATGACCTGAGCCGAAGGCAGTCGCTTAACCAACTGAGCCACCCAGGTGCCCCAAAGTTACCTTTCAAATACATTTATTTAGCAAAAATATGAATCAATTTTAAACAAAAATGTAAATAAATAACAGTGCCTTTGACCTTTGACAGTGGTTACATCTGAAACTCATGTAGCATTGTGTGTCAACTATCCTTCAATCAGAACAAAAGAAAACCAAAAAGAACTTTGAGGGTGGTATTACAGAAGTTTCCTGAAATAATTATGGTAAACATCTATTTCATGGACTTTCTTCCATGTTAAAGACCCCTCCCTCCATGATTTCCATGAAATATGTATTATAATTTTCTGAATGGCTGCTATAGAAAGGAACCTAAGCCAAGGGGGAAGCAGCAGGTAGCAGGTGTAATACTTATTGGCAGAGTTTGTAAAGGTCTACAGGAATGCATCCGATAGGCCTCTCCGTGATGATGCCTACTGAGCACTTGAAATGGGGTCAGTGTGACTGAGGACCTGAATTTAATTTTAATTAAATATAAACTTAGGTGACTACATGTGGCCACCGGCAACTATGTTGGACAATACGACTCTCTTGTTTGCTTTTGAGAGGAAAAAACAAAAGGAGGGTAAAAGGAAAAAGAAGACCTTAGAATCACAGACACATGATCTTAGAGATGAAAGGAATTTTAAGAGATCTAACTTAGTCTATTGTGAGGAAAGTAAGGTGGTCTTTTCCCCATTTTACAGATGAAACAGGCCCCCCCACTCCCCCTTAGCCCCTCCTCTTCTTCCTCCTCCTTCTTTTTTGAGTTATTGAGATCTTTTTGGCATAATCTCGAGGAATACTCAGATTTTTACAAATTCGTAGGAAAATAAGTATTCCAATACTTTTTAGCATCCACTATTTAACTCTGTTAGTTATTAGGAATACCCCGTGCCCCCTGGGGTCTGGATTACAGGCTCTGGATTAAGCACCAATCTCTAAAGCTTATATTCTTCCACTTAAGAAAGTACAGCAGAATATAAATGATATCCCTCAACATTACTAGAGGGATAACCAGGAATTCTCTAAGTCTTAAAATGAGAAACAAGTAATTTGCAAACTTTGATACTTTTACCTATTCTCTAGATACAAATTACTTCAAATTGCATTCTGCTTTACTTAGCTATCACATCCTCCCTGTTGTTTAAGTTATTCCCCTATTTTTCTATTTCTGTTTTATATCTTATATGTTCTGGAGTGCTTGTTGTTTTAAAGCCACCATTTCAATTTCAGGCTTTTTTTCTCTAAAGCACAATGTGAGTAAAATGATGGTCTCTTTCTCTCAAACTAGTGCTTTAAAATACCCTTAATTGGGAAATAGAAAGGAAATTGTAGAGAACCAGTCAGTAGTGTAGGAAATGAGAAAGGAGTACTGTCATAAAAGGAGGAAGTGTGGCAAGCACTGAAATCTACCCCTCCCTCTTATTTATTTACTTACTTATTTTGTAATCTTTATTTTTGGTGGCAGGGAGGGGTGCATCAGATCTAACACATCTCAGTAGAGGGATAGCCTTATTTCATCATAGATGTATAAGAGCTGCATGTTTTGCTTTGTTTTGTTTTGTTTTAAAGATTTTATTTATTTATTTGAGAGAGAGTGAGAGAGAGCAAGCACATGAGAGGGGGGAGGGTCAGAGGGAGAAGCAGACTCCCTGCAGAGCAGGGAGCCCGATGTGGGACTCGATCCAGGGACTCCGGGATCATGATCTGAGCCGAAGGCAGTCGCTCAACCAACTGAGCCACCCAGGCGCCCAAGAGCTGCATGTTTTATGCTTTGCTAATTCTACCCTTGAGTAGCCAGTGTATAATAGGCACTTAGTAAATAGTTATTTAGGAGCATATTGGTACCTGCCCAGGAAGTAAGGACAAACCGGTGAGTAAATTATAGTGCTTCCTGTAAGATTCTGCCATACTTAGTGTCTACATGCTGCAGGTTAAGTTATGCCCCTGTCTCTCTGGTTTATTTATTTTATATATTCTGAAGAACTCATTGCTTAAAAGTTGTCATTTCAGGGCATTTATTTATGAATCAGTATGTGATTTGCTGAAGTGATGATTTCATGTTTTTGTAGCATCCCAGAAGAGATACCTTGTTAAAAAACAAAAATCACAGGGTGCCTGGTGGGGCATGCGACTCTTGAACTTGGGGTCCTGAGTTCACACCCCACACTGGGCCTAGAGCTTACTTAAAAATACCAACCAACCAACCAACCAACCAAACAAACAAAAACAGGAGCACCTGGCTAGCTTTGTTGGTAGAGCATGTGACTCTTTTTCTTTCTTTTTTTCTTTTTTTTGAGAGAGAGAGAGAAAGTGTGCATGAGGGGGCGGGGTGGGAGGGGCAGAGGGAGAGAGAGAATCTTAAGCAGGCTCCACAACCAGCATGGAGCTCAATGTGGGGCTTGATCTCACAACCATGAGATTATGACCTGAGCTGAAGTCAGGAGTTGGACGCTTAACTGACTGAGCCACCCAGGTGTCCTGCATGTGACTCTTGATCTCAGGGTTGTAAGTTCAAGCCCCACGTTGGGCATGGAGCCTACTTAAAACAAAACAAAACAAAACAACCCCAAAACCCAGAATCACAGTACTGGAATTCTAGTTATTCAGATAGGAGGAAAGTTACTTTTATGGATACCTACTTATCTCAGTGATTGAAAATAGGACTTCTAATAGAGATTGAGAGAGGCCTTTTCTAAAATATAATCTTATTTTTTTGCTAGAAGTTTATTATTCTCTACTTATATGTATATGTAATCTATATTATATTGTCTAGATTATTTCATTCACCAAGTCAAAACCAGTCTCTACAATGCTGCCAGCTTATTTGGATTCCCATTCCAGCTGACCACAAAACCCATGGTAACTTCTGCTTGTAATGGAACACGGAATGTGGCCCCTTCAGGAGAGGTCAGTGGGGATAGGGTTCCATTGGGGCTACTGATCTTTGTACTTATTCATTAAAGTTAAATTTTAGAAATATTCTTTCTAGGAATTGAGTGGAATGACTTCTTTCCAGAAATGTTGATGTCTTTATTAGCCTTGATATAAAGGCCAAGAAGTTAAAGATTAAGAAATTACACATTAAAAAAATATTTATAAAGAGTCCAATTACTAGTACATCTGCTTTTCTTGTTTAAGTATATGTAAAGAACCTGAAATAGTTATTTTATATATAATTTTGTGAATCTTCACCAATTAAACTTTTGGTCTTACTGATGATGTCTCTTCTGAGAGCTAGTGAAATAATGACCAATAGAGTGACTTTTTTATATTAAAAACTTATTTAAATTCTAAAATTGAGATACTACAGAGGTGATTCTATTTGATTTTAAGGTATTTTCGAACTCTTCATCTTGTGAACTGACAGGTTCTGGATCCTGGAACAACATGCTGAAACTGGGTGAGGTGGTCAAAAATCTTTCTGCTTTCCTGTACCTCTTTCTGCCTCTTTTTTCTGAGTTTTGAGAATATGAAAGGAAAACAAATACTGAGTTGGGTTGGGATGAGAACACAGACATATTCTCTCTACCTTCTAAAAATTATTAAGTAGTTTTCTTTTAGAATTGTCATTGAATTTATTTTTTGTGTTTTCTGTTTGTATTATCAGTGTCCTTAATGTGACTTAGTTCAGAGTTCATTCATTAAGAAAACAAATAACATTTCCTGAGAGCTTACTCTGTGTCAGGCATGTGTTATCAAGGATAACAAAAGGACAAAATAATAAATAAAACCTTTCATAACAAAATACAAAACAAATAATAAAATAATAAAACCCTGTCTTTAAGGGACATCATCTGATTGGGGAGCAACTTTAGGTTTCCAGTTCTCATAGTTTTATGCATTAGAAACCTCCATGTCATTCTTGGAGCCCAAAATTGAATTGTAATTATTGTACATAACTGTATAAAATTCTGTCATGGGGAAAACTAGGAAGAATCCAGACTCCTGAAAATGACTGTGATCTCTGTCACATAGGCCTATAAAGTTTGAAAGAAAGGGATAAAAGCTTTTAGAAAAGTTGTGGGTTCTGAAGTCAAAAGTGGAAGAAACTAAGGAAATGATAAAAGAAACTAAGGAAATAAATGAAATTAAGGAAATGATAAATGATAAAGTGATAAGGAAATGATACTACCTTACAGTAGTAAGTTTCCTTCTCAAGCTTTTTAAGTAAAGTCTCTCCGGTGGCAGAGAAGAGCAAAGGGGAGTAAATGCATATCCCTGAGTCTGAGAATCTAATTCCAGAGGACCTGGAACAAAGATGATATTTTTTTGGAGTCTTTCATTTCATTTTAAAAGTTAGTATAAATTAGATTTTATAATCTATTCATACTGTTTGAATATGTAAATGTTAAAAACTATTTATCATTAAAATGGACACATGGAAGGGATGGTACTGTCTTGTGCCTGAGGTATCAGCACTATATTTCTGTGTGTTTGTGTAGCCTTGTCAGAGAAGCACAGGTATTCCTGGGGCAGGTTTCTTGTATAAAGGAGTCTACAGTCTCTTATCTGAAACCCTTGAAGATGTGCTGGGGAATTTAGAATTTTTCATATCTTAGATATATTGTCTTTTTTGAATATTGTTTTAAAAATCCCATTAGAATTGAACATTGGTTCAAATCAGGTTTTGCAAACAAAGGAATTCAGGTCAGTTTAAGTTTTGCTGCTACAGACTTGTGAAAAAACTTTCAGTTTTAGATCTCTTTACATTTTGGAGTCTTCAGGGGCTCCACAGTTGTGCTGTAGCTTCAGCAGTAAATGTGGCTGATGAAAGTTTGGTTACCCTTTTTCGAAGTATAGTAACCATCTCATAAGTGTTGGAAGCTTCCAGTGAAATAGTAACATATAGTAGGTTTTCATTTAAAAAAACCTTCTGTTTTCTTGGGAAAAAGAAATGATTCGAACAACTCAATTGGATTAGATTACATGGAGTTTGTATCATTGAGTTCTTCATGCTTCTTGATGGTTCCAGCAAGTGGAACTAGAAAAGCTTACCTGTGAACTTTTATTGTCTCTCTGAGATCAAAGACAAATTAAGCACTATTGCTTTTTCTTCAGCTTTTACAGTTTGTTCTGGATCTCTGTATAGTAATAGCATTTGAAAGAATAAGATATTTAGTTCTACAGCGTAGACTGTTCACAGATTTTCTAATGCAGACTGTTCACAGGTTTGGGGTTTTTTTTGTTTTTTTTTACAATTACAAATGCATTTTTTAAAATAGGTAATAAATCTCCTAATGGAATAAGTGACTATCCAAAGATCAGAGTGACAGTAACCCGAGATCAGCCCCGCAGAGTCCTGCCTTCCTTTGGGTAAGTGTTAAATTCTGCCTTTTTGTAAATGGAAGCTTAGCACTTAGGTGTTCACTCTTGCTAGCATTCCCACTTTTGTTCTATTATGTAAGCTTGTTAAGTAAGTACTCTGAGGTTAGTAACTTGCCAGATGTCATACAGCTATTGAGAGATTTGAAGTCAGGTATGTGTTACTTTCTCTGTACTATAGCTTATGCTTATAGCATCTGATTTTGAAAACCTTTTAAAAAGGATTTGTTGCTCACTTCTAAACTTAATTTTTTTTAAAGGATTTTATTTATTTATTTGAGAGAGAGAGCAAGCACAAGCAGTGGGGAGGGGCAGAAGGGGAGGGCGAGGGAGAGTATCTCCAGCAACTCCATGGTGAGCGTGGAGCCCCACACAGGGCTCAGTCCCATGACCCTGAGATTACAGCTGGAGCCGAAACCGTGAGTTGGACACTTAACCGACTGAGCCACTCAAGTGCCCCTAAACTTCATTTTTTAATTTTTTTATGTTAATTCCAGTACAGTTAACATACAGTATTATATTAGTTTCAGGTGTATAATCTAGTGATTCAACAATTCTACACATTACTGAGTGCTCATCATGATAAGTGTACTCTTTAATCACCATCACCTATTTTACCCATCCCCCTACCCACCTTCCCTAAAGTTTATTTTTTCCCTAAACTTTATTTTTGAAGTATAATATGCATATGGAAAATGCAGAAACCATGATGAATTTTCATATACTGAACACACATCAGTTTTGTGAAATGTTCTTCTTTTAGTAGTAATTTTCTTCTTCTTTCTGTGTTCTCACATTCTAGAATTTCTATTTCTTGGATATTTTTCTAATTTTTCTCTATATTGATCTGATTGATCTAATTTTTGTATATATTCTCTTCTTTTGTTGTTCTCCTTTCCCCTAAAAACGAAATCTTTTGCTGATTTTTTTTTTTTTAATTTTTTTTTAAGATTTTATTTATTTATTTGACAGAGGGAGAGACAGTGAGAGAGGGAACACACGGGAGTGGGAGAGGGAGAAGCAGGCTTCCCACTGAGCAGGGAGCCCGATGTGGGGCTCGATCCCAGGACCCTAGGATCACGACCTGAGCCAAAGGCAGACGCTTAACGACTGAGCCACCCAGGCGCCCCAGATTTTTTTTTTTTTTTTTTGATGTCATAGTTTTCAAGTAGGAAGAGTCCTGCCACTCCCTCCTCCTATGGTTTTTTATTGCTCTAAGAATCTTATTCTTATTAAAAGAGGCAAAAAAAGGGGCTGCCTGGCTGGCTCAGTTGGTGGAGCATGCGACTCTTGATCTCAGGGTTGTGGGTTTGAGCCCCCTGTTGGTCACAGAGATTACTTAAAAAAAAAAAAAAAAAAGAGGCAAAGACGTATGCACTACCTTTTCTTATTTCTCTAAAGCTGTTAATTATTTTAAAATTTCTTCTTCTCCCTACTTTGTTTCCTCTGAACTCCTTTCCCCACTTTGGTTTATTTTGGTCTTTTCTTTCATATTAGAGTCTTTTTTTTTTTTTTTAATTGAGCTATAACATATTAATTTCAGGTCTACAACATAATGATTTGATATTTGTATATATTATTGAAATGATCACTATAATAAGTTTAATGTCCATCACCATACAGAGTTACAAATTTTTTTCTTGTGATGAGAACTATTAAGATCTACTCTCTTAGTAACTTTCAAATATACAATATGATATTAACTGTAGTTACCATGCTGTGCATTACATCCCATGACCTACTTATTTGATAACTGGAGGTTTGTACCTATGAGTTTAGGTTTGTTTGCTTTTTAAAGATTCCACATGTAAGTGAATCATATTTGTCTTTCTCTGACTTATTTCACTTAACATCATACCCTCAGGGTCCATCTGTGTTGTTCCAAATGGCAAGATTTCCTTCTTTTTTATGGTTGAATAACATTTCAGTGTATATTTTCTCTATCCACTCATCCATTGATGGACACTTAGCTTGCTTGCATGTCTTGGCTGTTGTAAATAATGCTTAGGTGAACATGGGGATGCAGATTATCTTTTCATATTAGAGTCTTTGTTCAGATATCTGGCAATCTTTGGCTCCCCATTCCTGTTTAAGAAAGACATTAACAGAAAAGCAGCCCCTTTGGAGTTGGATAAATAGCTGATTGTAGGGCTAAGAGAGAAAGTATGAACAAGTATCATTTTTTTATTTCTCGTTTAATTCCATCACAGTCAGAGAATATACTGTAGCATAATTTCAGTTCTTTAAAATGTGTTAACATCTGTTTTATGTCCTAGAATATGGTCTGTGTGGGTGATGTTCAATGTGCACTTGAAAAGAATATGTATTCTACTATTGTTAGGTGGAATGTTCTATAATTATCACACAGGTCAAGTTGGCTGATAATGTTTTACAGGTCTTACTGATTTTCTATTTTTTTGCTGATTGATAAATGAGGAGTGTTGATGTTTTCTCCCATAATTAAGGATTTGTCTACTTCTCCATCTAATTATGTTAGTATTTGTCTTCATGTATTTTAAAACTCTGCAGATGAGTACACTTGACCCAGATTCACCAGTTGTAACCATTTTGCCACATTTGCTTCTTCACGCTCTGTCATATATACCTATTTTTTTCTGAAGCATTTGAGAGTAAGTCTTAGACTCATGCCCCTTTAATCATAAGTGCATGAGTATGTTTATTTTTTAAGAGTGAGGATTTTCACTTATATAATCACAGATAAACAAAATCAGAAGATTTAACATCAATACAATACTATTATGTAATCTCATTTAAAATTTTCCATTATAGAGATGATTTTTTCTGGTCCAGGATTCAGTGCAGGATCATGTGTTACATTTAATTTTCATGTCTTTTTGATCTCCTTTAATCTGGAACAATTCCTTAGCCTTTCTTTGTCTTTGATGGCATGGATATTTTTTATTTATTTATTTATTTTTAAAAGATTTTATTTATTTATTTGAGAGAGAGAATGAGATAGAGAGAGAGCATGAGAGGGGGGAGGGTCAGAAGGAGAAGCAGACTCCCTGCTGAGCAGGGAGCCCGATGCGGGACTTGATCCCGGGACTCCAGGATCATGACCTGAGCCGAAGGCAGTCGCTTAACCAACTGAGCCACCCAGGCGCCCCGGCATGGATATTTTTTAAAGAGTAGAAGGCATTTCTTTTGTAGAATGTTCCCTAATTTTGTCTGATGTTTACTCATTACTTGTTCAAGATTATGCAGGTTTGTTTTGTTTGGTTTTTTTTTTGTAAAAATACTACATCAGTGGTTTATCTTTTTTAAAACATCACATCAAGAGGGGTAGGATACCAGTTTGACACATTGTTGGTAACTGCAGGAGAGGCAGGCTCTGTCACCACAACCAAGGACTAGGTGGGGGCTTCATGGCTTCCATTTCTTTAGCATTTATTAATTTAACGTTCAGTAGATATTTACTGAGTACCTTTTGGTGTAGATCCTGTACTAGGATACAATAGTGAAAGGATGTAATCTCTGTTTTCATGGAATTTAAAGTTTAGTGTGAGATGTAGACATTAAATAAATAATGACACCAATAATTAATTCCAGTGGTGCCAGGTGACTAAAGGAAAAGTGTAGTACCAGAGGAGGGTATGTGTCACAGGAGGGCTAAATCCAGAGTTGTGGTTGGACAGTTGGGCACGAGGAAGAAGGCAGAGGCTTTCGTGTGGCAGTTCTGGTGACCGCAAATAGACATTCCATAGTGGAATGCCCTCTGCTCTAGAGATGGGTAATAACTTTCGTGAATGGTAGTTGTCTGATTTGACAAGAGCAGGCTTAACCTAGGACAGACAGCTTCATCTCAGGATGGTCTGGGAGCTTAAATTCTAGCAATTTAAGGAGTTTGGTGGTAACTTTTTCTTTTCTTTTTTTCTATCTCTCAGTTTTACTTTGAACTCAGAGGGGTGTAACAGAAGACCAGGTGGCCGTCGTCATAGCAAAGGCCCTTCAGAGAGTTCCTTAACCTGGAAGCCTCAGGAACAGGTTGTAACAGAGATGATTTCTGAAGAGGGTGGCAAGGGTCTGAGGCGTCCCCACTGTACCGTGGAGGAGGTAAGCCCTTTTAGCCTCTGATCACTTTTAAAAAATAGTTTATGAATTTTTAGGGGAATAAATAATGTGTGTACTGGAGTACAGAATTCAAAAGGGATGGAAAGGTGTACCGTGACTGTAAATTTCCTAGTCTCTCTTCCAGTACCTGACCCCACGACCCTGTCTGATGGTTAGCAAGTAACCACTGATACTTGAACGTACCCTTCTGGAGATATTGTATACATACATAATTTAGTCAATTTTCAGATTTTTTTTTCCACTATAGGGCAGAAAAAGGAATCATGCTAGGAAGAGAGGAGATTCTATTCCTTTTGGGTGTTTGAATTCTTCTACTAACTTGTTTCTTTTATAAGGCATAGTTGTGACTACGTAAGAGAAGTAAACAGTGAACGTGTCCTCTTTTTCCTTTGTCAGGGCACTTAGCATGATGTCTTCATCAGCAGTCTTCTTTTTACTTCCCTCTTGAGATCTTTGCTTATTCCAGGAGAATTTAGAATTATTCCTGTACTTGACATTTCCCAGGACCATCACCTATTGCAATTTGCTAGATGGTTTTCTGAGCCATTTAGTTTTGTTAGTCAAAGAATCATCTGTTTGAGGTTCAGGTGCTATGCTAGTTGTCAGCAATTCAAAAATTGAATAAAATGAGGCCCTGTCCCCTAGGAGCTTGTAATCAACAGAGGCAAGCAGAGAGAGGAACGGACTGAAGTAGGCTTCAGTACCTCTTAAATGAGAAATCAGAGATGGGACTGAGCAAAAATATTTATATACACAGGATATATTCTAAAATAGTAGAAGGTAATATTAGCAAATACGTATTCATTGGTTAAGGGTAATATAAGTTAGAAGAGCCTGAGTCTCAGATTTCAGTCTTGGATAAATACGTGTCATTGACCAAGATACCCTATGTGTTTAGGGGGAAGATGATGACTTCAGTTTTGGACATTGTTTAAAGTGCCTGTGAAACACGCAAGAAGACCTGTCCCGTAGAATCTTGGATATAGGTGATGAGAGTTATGAGAAGAAGGCAGGGTTAGAGACACATTTCTGAATCTTCTATATATTGGTGTTTGATAAATCAAGGGAGTTGGAGAGAGTACTCAGGGAGAGAATGTAGTGTGAGAAAAGAGATAATGGGCAGACCATCGGCATTTGAGGGCAGGCAGAAGAAATAGTTGGCAGTGGAGACTGAGAAGATAAGAAGAAATCAGGAGTGTATTGTCTAGAAGGCAAAGGGAGGTCAGCAGGGTGAGGTGTTGGAGAGAGAGGTCAAGTAACGTAAAGGCTGAGAAAGTGTCTGCTGGATCTGGCCGCGGAAGTCATTGGTGATTTTGATGTGACCAGATCCATTTTGGAAACTGAATGTTCTGAATATGCAGGTGGATTATTTCTGTTGAGTTTTTTGTGGTTGACAAAAACTGCTGTCAAAAACCCAGATGCCATCAGAGTCTAGCAGGTAATGTAAATGAGTGGAGCAGGCTGGAATGAGTGGCCCATCTAAGGAGAATAGCCCTACACAGCTCCAGATCATTGGTTCAGTTTTTTGAAAGAGGTCAGATTTTTAGATTTTTCTTTTCAAATTTATAAAGTTGGTAATTCAAAGAAATTTAAAAAGTGTTGGCAAATAAAACACATCTGTGGGCTGCATTTGACCTCTTAGTCTCCATTTATGATTTAATGATAGCTTTAACATGTTAACACTTAAGTGACATCCTTTCTTTTATTTAGGGTGTTCAAAAAGAGGAAAGAGAGAAATACCGAAGGTTATTGGAGCGACTTAAAGAAAGTGGTCATGGAAACTCTGTTCCTCCTGTAACTCCAACTTATCACAGGTAAAACTGAGCTAACAAAATCAGTGCTTTGCCACACATCTTTTTACTTAATTTTGGAGAGGAGATTGGCGAGAAAGGCTTTGTTGAAAAAAGAGGTTTGCGTTGAGAGAACTATCCTTATAATTTGCCTGCATGTTGTATCTAGTAATGAGATATATGGAGCCACGGTGGTTTTACAAAATAGATTTTTCGTTTAGCTTTAGAATCTTTTGTTCACATGAACTCTCGAAACTCTGATATAGAAAAGTAGAATTACAGGTTGAAATCAGGTTCTTAGGGAGTAGAGAGTTATTTCAACCTTTCCAGCACCACATTTCCCTTAGTCTCTTGTCTTTTTCTGTCTCTTCCCCCCTCTTCCTTTCCTGCCCGGTTCTCCCTTCCTCCCACCGTAGCCTCTCTCTCTGATACACACACAGTCCCTGTGGCATGTCAGTGAATGCATTTGTGTATGATTGGAAGTCCTCCATTTTAGAGACAAGATTAAAGTCACTCCAGGTTATAGAAAGTTTTCCTTATAAGACTTCTTGTTAAATACTCTAATGCTTTGGGCAAGTAGATGACAGTGGCAGAAGGAGCTGATATTCACCTGTAAAAAAAAGGGACAAAACTATATGAGTACAGGATTGAGGCACGCAGGATAATTCTAACAAGTGGTGTGAGAATACACAGCAGGGGTGGGGGGAATCCTGGAAATTATGTAACGGCAAGTTGAAGGTGAAAAAGTCACAAGGCTTTCTAGCTTGTTGAATGTACAGATAGCAGAAGATTAGTTGTCTAGGAATTTTAACTTTTGTTGTGAGCTTTTTAAAAAATTTTCTTTCTCTGCGTTTACTCAGGCAGAATGTTAATATTTTCTCTGTTTTGACTAGCCACTGTTGGAAGCAGCAGTATGCTTCAAACTTTGCTCTTGTCGTGTCAGGAAAATCCTCAAACTATTTTGCTGTTTACATTCCTGCTTTTATTGTATTGTTTTAGGATCCATTTCATTATGTCATTTAAAATTTTTCATTTCATAACTTGAGTTTTGTCACACTGAGCTTTTTTGGTTGAGGTGGTGCTGGGGATTGAGAACATCCAATTTTACCAACATTGAAACTGGAGGTTAGGTAACTTGGCTGAAATACTAGCATCAGGATTATACTCCTTGTATCCCAGTCCCAGATGGTGCTGTGTTGCATTCTCTCATAATTTCATGTTACAGGGTAATCAGTAACCCCTGTTTTGAGAAGAGAAGCTTGTCAGATGGAAATAGTGAATATTTATGGTAGACTTTCCTTTTGTATCTGACCTTCTTCACTTTTTGTGTTCCTAAGCTCTCAAAGAAGTCAGATGGACACATTAAAGACCAAAGGCTGGGGCGAAGAGCAAAGTCACGGAGTCAAAACAACTCAGTTTGTTCCAAAACAATGTGAGTCCCCAGATTTAGCCCTCTCTCCATATATTGACCTTAGTTCATGTGCACATAAAATTGAGAAATGACATCCTAGTGAAAGATGGTATACCAAAGTTTAAAACATTGTCAGACCCCAGGGCTTTGACTTGGGCTTATCCAGTACAAGTAGTTTAGTTAAAAGGCTATTTCAAGATGAAGTAGATTCAAAAGATACCTCTTGATTATTATTCCTAGCTTCTACTTAGCAAATATTTTGTGAGCCTAAAATTAGTTTCTTAATATTTATTTTATTAATTTCTTTATATTTCTCCACTAGCTGTTCACTAAATGGCATTAAATGATAAGTGAATGTCTTGATACTTTGGAAACTGTGTAAGTTGAAATTCTAGCTACATGATTGATTAATAAAGGAAACATTCAATCTTTTCTTTATCATCTTACAGACAGAGTTGTTGAAACAAGGGGACCTTTATGCTCAGTGAGAAGTGAGAAGAGGTACATGGTTCAGTTCATTCTAAGTTTTCTTTTGATATATTATTTTCTTTATAAGTTATATTGATGAATAACTATGTCTAAAGAATTGTGAACTCTCCCCAGCTCTGGTAGCTGGTCAGCATATATGGGTACATGGGTGGCTGTTGTGTCGGATGCCCACCCTAGCTCGGAGGGTGCCCTTCTCTCCTGGGCATTAGGGGTTCGGAGATGCAGGTGCCACTTAGATAGGTGTGTGGTTGTGGTGGGCATCTTTAGGAATTAGCACCTTTCAGTGAAGGCAGTTCTTTGTGCCTTTAGGATTTTGGATGATAGTTCCTTTATAGCAGAGTTTGGGGTAAGCTCTGGCCCATTGTCCAAATCTGGTCCACCTGCCTGTTCTTTTTAAGTAAAGTTTTATTGGAACACATTCATGCTAATACATTTACATCCTGTCTGGCTGTTTTTAAGCTATGATGGAAGTTGAGAAGATGTGACAAAAACTATAAGACTTGGGGAACCTGGCTGACTCAGTCTATAGAGCATGTGACTCTTGATCTTGGGTTCCTCAGAGTCATGAGTTTGAGCCCCATGTTAGACATAGAGGTTACTTAAAAAGAAAAAACAACAACAACAAAAACCAAAACCTGTAAGACTTGCAAAGCTCAAAATATTTACTATCGGATCCTTTTTCAGAAAAACTTTGCTGACCCTTGGTTTAGAGGAGTATATAAACTCAAGTTGGTTTTTGTTGACAAATTATTAAGTCTTATTTCTAAAACTAGTCTCACATGTACAAGTTAAAATTATCCAGTCTATACTCTCCCAATATTTTTCCTCAGGTGTTGTTCAAAGGGGAAAATTTCTGATACAGAGAGGACAGTTGGAATCAGACTTGAAAATGAAGGTGTAAGTGGAAACCCTAGTTAAATTTTATGTTGTTTTACTCTTTCACCTGACCTGTGTTAAAATTTTGGTGCTCATGAAAAGTAAGAAAGATGAACAATATTACTTTGATTTCTAATTTCATTGTTTTCTTTGAAAAAAGCAGCAGGCATTGAAGATACACAACTTTTGGCTTCCTTCTGAATTCCCGGATGTTCACCTCTGTATGGTAGCTACCTTTTTTGTAAGAGAGACCAACTTGCCTCCATCCCAGCCCTATATCTGTAGTGCCTGGCTTCTTTTGGAGAATCTTAAAAAACCGTACGGTCTCTAGGAAAGATATGTTCAGGACCTTCTTTTTAGAGTCAGGATCTCAGATTTATTTGAAAATACTACCAATCTTATGCTTAATTGGATTTTACATTTTTCGGTGTACTGGAATGCAAAGTGTTCCGGTGATCTCCATAGCAATACCAACATTTTAAATAATAGCAGCAGAGTGTTTTGCTAAACACTCTGTATCCAAAAGAAATACATTTCTAAATTAAAGGCAAACTTGATGTTTTAGATTATTTCACATTTTAGATACATAGAAATACCAAAGTTTAGGGCGCTGCTTTATGTGAAGTATCAGCTCGATCAGGTTTTTCTTCTCCCATTAAACCTCTTTGTAAGGAAGAGTGTAGGTCTCCGAACATCCCTGTTCCCAGTCATTTGGAGCGAAACCTTCTGTATTGAGTTATTGTTTATCGCCTGTGGAACACCGGCTGAAAAAGGCGGGGGAGCTATGCCTGAGAGAGGACAGAGAGGGAGCATATTTGGAACCTGGGTAAAGACTACCTGGTGCTTCCATCTGTGCCGAACCTGAAGGCTATGCTGTCTGGGGCCGTGGGGAAGGGCCAGCAGCTGCTGGTTTCCTGGGACCGGCATCCCTGGCAGTGAGTTAGAGTGAAGAGTACTGGCTCAGCACGTTGAGACTAGTGTGGTTCTCATCGAAAGCTCTCTTTCTAACTCCGTTTCTTCATTTTCAAAGTTGGCCTACTAGATGCCTTAAATTCACTATTAAAGGTTATGTAGGTCACAATAAGGAAGGATATTGTCAGGAGTTTCTGGAATGCTGGCAGAGTTCTATTTGCTGACCCGAATGGTGCTTACATAGGTGTTAATTTTACAAAAATCAAGTGGTATGTAAATGTTTGTACACTTTTCTGTAGTAAATAATTCCTTTAAAAAAATGAAATGGAGCAAGTTTACTTATTATAAGGATAGTAATACTTTATTCTGAGTGATGGGATTATGGGTCATAGGTTTTGTTTTTTTTAAGCACTCCAACATGTCTTGTAGCCATCTTATTTTTCATTGGCCTAAGAGAACTGAAAAATGCTTTTCTTGCTGCCTACAGGGAAAGTGGTGAGTGTTCTGTTTCATGGTTTGTAATTGAGGCGCCCTGTGAGCCTTAGGTCTTGAGCATTTTTTTGTTCCTCTTGCAGGGACAGGCAGACAAAATCTCCTTCACTTACTTGGGAGATTTGCCTATTCTCTCAGGATAATGGCACTGTTTCATGTGTTATATATGTTTATATGTGTAAATATCAAACATGTCAATAGAATATAGAAACTTTTTTGATCAGAGGAGGGGACACCAGCTGGAACCTGACCTATCCGAAGAGGTGTCAGCTCGACTCCGCCTGGGCAGTGGGAGCAATGGCTTACTCAGGAGGAAAATGTCAATACTTGAGACGAAAGAAAAACATTGCTCAGGCAAAGAGAGGGATAAAAGGATGGATGATCTTCTTGAACTTACAGAGGTATTATTTCTTGTGTTGATCAGAATAAGAGGCATGTTTTTAAATAACTTCAGTTATCAAGACTTGAACACATGTTTTATTTTGAGGAGTTTCTCCAGGCTAGGGATGAGTGTAAGAGAGAAATCAGGTCCAAGGGATGTCCAGTCACTGGCTACATTGATCATTAGTGATCTGTGAGGGTGGCCTAAGGGATCAGATTAATGTTCAGCAAATGTGAGTAGACATATTTGTCACATATCTTGGAATGTAATGGGCTCTTTGCAGATTTTTCTTCAAATATTTTGGGTTACATAGTATGGGTTTGGCATTAGGAATGAGCTCATTGCATTTTTAAAAAGTGATTATTATTTACTAAAATGTCCCTTTTATTGATTATTACATTTGAAAATAGTAAAAACTTATTTGAAAAACCAAGGAAATGAAGGTAGTAAAATTCTCATTTTAAAGGTGAGCCTGTATCTTGGCTCCTTTTCCAGTGTTGTTTTAGTAGGTGGTAGTCAGTCCTATGCAGTGAGAACCTGTTGAGCACTTATTATATATTGGACACACAAATGGAGAGATCCATAAAACGGCACAATTGTATGCAGTGGAGAAAGCCGGATTTAAAATATTTGAATGAAACTAATTTCTTTTGGGTGTATAGATTCATCTCAGTAGCTTAAATACGCATTTGCATAATTCTTCAGAATAATGAAGCCATCTGTTCAGTGAGGACTCATTTGGTAGACCACTGCCGTGTTTTCCAGTTTCTCCCTGTTTGCTTATTCCCTTCATGTCCAAACTGTATAGTAACATCTCTTAGGGCGCCTAATTTTATTACTTTGATGATTTTAAATAAAAGTTTAGTAGGTAAATAAGGAAAGTGTGAAAATACTTTAAGAGTACTGTGAAAGGAGCAAAGGCTAGGAAGTTAGACACCCCTGGGTTCCCTGCTAGCAAGGATCTGGTACCATGTTTGGCTCAGAGTGCTCAATAAATGGTAGTGGGATAATTGAAACTATACTTTAAATGGAAATACTATTAGCAGATTATTGTTTCCAGAAGCTGGTAATTAAACTAACGTTTTCATAACCATTAGTAAAACTGCTTTGTATTATAGAGATGAAAAGCTTGTTTTAGCCTCAGACTCTTGAAATCTGATTGTGGTTCTATTTAAAATACATCCTCTGGACTTTCTAATTCAGGACATGGAAAGGGAAATCAGTAATGCCCTAGGTCATGGCCCACAGGATGAGGTCCTAAGTAGCGCTTTCAAGTTGCGAATCACTCGAGGTGATATCCAGACCTTGAAGAACTACCACTGGCTCAATGATGAAGTAAGTTGTTCTTTTCTCCCCTGTTCTGTTATTATGCTTAACCATTTACCATCTATAACCAAAGTGATTTCTACCTAATTATTAGGGGTTGGGAAAGCAGCTTTTGGTTTCATTTAAAACAGAAACATCTCACGGGGCGCCTGGGTGGCTCAGTCGTTAAGTGTCTGCCTTCGGCTCAGGTCATAATCCCGGGGTCCTGGGATCGAGCCCCGCATCGGGCTCCCTGCTCAGTGGGGAGCCTGCTTCTCCCTCTCCCACTCCCCCTGCTTGTGTTCCCTCTCTCGCTATCTCTCTCTCTGTCAAATAAATAAAATCTTAAAAAAAAAACAAAACAGAAACATCTCAAAACTTAAAACAGTGGTCAATTCTGATTCTTTGCTGCCTTTAATTAGCCATGTTTCCCTCTTCTGCATCGGTGCTTTGTTTCATCCACCACTTCATTTACTAGTAGTCTTCAGTGACTTTTTTTTTTTTTTACAAATTTATTTGTTTTTAAGTAAGCTCTGTGCCCAACGTGGGGTTTGAACTCATGACCCTGAGATCAAGAGTCGCATGCTCTACTGACTCAGCCAGCCAGGCACCTCTTCAGTGACATTTTTATTTATTTATTTATTTTTAAAGATTTTATTTATTTATTTGACAGAGAGTACAAGCAGGAGGAGTGGCAGGCAGAGGGAGAGGGAGAAGCAGGCTCCCCGCCAAGCAAGGAGCCTGACGCAAGGCTCAATCCCAGAACCCTGGGATCACGACCTGAGCCGAAGGCAGACGCCCAACTGGCTGAGCCCCTCAGGCACCCCTCAGTGACATTTTTATAAACCTTGGGTGTAGCTGATGAATAGAAGGAAGCAGCAAGCGATACTTATTTTAGAGGAATTCTTCTAAGAGCCATTTTATTTTTTCAGTAATAAAGGGATAGATTGATCACTGTACACACATGTATATATAAAATGTGTCTTTTTCTTTATTTGAGTGATAACTGTAAAAATTTGCCGAATTGTCATCTTGTATCCTTACATATTTAGCTAAAACTAACTCTTAGTTCTTGTACATGTTCTAGCTGGTCCTTTCCCTAACTCCCCAAAGTCCCTGCATTTTCCCCCTTTGCCTTCCTTCCCATCCCCCCCAGACTAATGACATAGAAACACATTCTTATAAAACTAGTATTTTTGTTTTACATTATAAATGCTATATATTTATTATAGAAAATTTGGAAAGTACAGGAAAAGTAAAATAAAAATATTCAAAAGTGCCACCACTCAAAAATAAACAAAATATTAATGTTTGGGTATATTTTCTTCCAGTTAATATTTTTTTATATATAGTAAAATTTATGAACAGTAAAATTCAATTCTAGTTAATATTTCTGCATATTTTTTTCATGTGATGTAGTTGCATACACCTTTTCATTATTGCAGACTTTCTCCTTAAGTTCCTTGGCTCTTTTACTCACATACTTCAAAAGTACAATTTCACTCCTTAATGCCTCCCATTTTGCACTCATTATCTTTTATTTTCCTTATTATGCTGTAAACAATCCTTTCATCCCCATCTCTAGTATATTCCTTTCCTGGAGCTTCTTACCTTCTGATTCATCCTAACTTAGGTAGAAATTTAGTTTTGGTAATGTACTTGCCACGTTCTGATGTTTACTCCCTTGGTATTATAGGTCATTAATTTTTACATGAATCTTCTGGTGGAAAGAAACAAAAAACAAGGGTATCCAGCACTTCACGCATTCAGTACTTTTTTCTATCCCAAATTAAAGTCTGGTGGTTACCAAGCAGTGAAAAGATGGACCAAAGGGGTCAATCTCTTTGAACAGGAACTTATTCTGGTGCCTATTCATCGGAAGGTACATTGGAGCTTGGTGGTGAGTTGAGAGGGTTAATTGTTGGAGTCTGTATAATGGATGTTTTCTTGACTAATGAAGGCTACCCTTTTCTGCCCAGTTAAAAATCCAGTAGTACATATAAAGGCATACTCTGTAGAGTCTCTTCTCGGTTCTTGAGTTGAACAACTTAGAAAGCTAGATGGCAATTAATTGAATTTAAATTAAAAAAAAATAGAAAAAACCCCAAAAGATTAAATTACACACACACACACCCACACAGCTAGATGGCATACAGGAAGACAGGAAAGAGTTTTAGTACACATATGAGTTCTTTATCTGATTTCTTTAGTTTTGTTTACAAGATGGTACAGATTTATTATAGAAAAGTAAAGGTATAAAGAAAATAAAGAACAAAAATCTCATCACTTTGAGAGGACCACTAATGTTTTGGTGAGTAAGTTTCTAGGTTTTCTCTGGGACTAGAGGTATATACTTTTATAGAAATGAAGCTCATATCATCTGTGATAATTTATAAAAAATGTGTCTTAGAAATCCATTTATGTTGGTACTTGTATTAACTTTTTAAAAGATGCTTTTCCTTTTAGAAATAAAATTCTATTGTGGTTAAGATGTTTCTGGATATTGTATTTTTCCATTGTAGGTGATAGACCTAAGAAAAAGGTGTCTTAAATATCTGGATTCTATGGGACAAAAGGGCCACAGGATCTGTGAGATTCTCCTGTAAGTAAAGGCTGAAAAACTTTACTGTTGTGTCATTATGCCCTTGTTAGCTGATCTATCTTGTATTTAATCCAGGGAGGCTCTGGTGGATGGTAGTTTAATGTTTAGTGAAGGCTGTTCTCCCAGTTGTTCAGGAATTGACTTGAATTCATCTTCTTATCAAAAAAACCCCCTAATATCTGATCTTAACTGAGAACTCTTGTTTAGTAGCATCAGTGGAAACAAGTTTGTCATGCACTGTAATATAAAATATGTCTTACTAGAATCCTGTGATTTGAATTGTTTCTTTTTTTTTTTTTTTTAAATTTTTTTTTTTTTATTTGAAAGAGAGAGAGACAGCGAGAGAGGGAACACAAGGATGGGCAGTGGGAGAGAGAGAAGCAGGCTTCCCACCAAGCAGGGAGCCCGATGTGGGGCTTGATCCCAGGACCTTGGGATCATGACCTGAGCCAAAGGCAGACGCTTAACCGACTGAGCCACCCAGGCGCCCCTGAATTAGGTTTCTTTAGGATTGATACATTATTCTGAATGTTCTGAGGAACTCTTAACTAGGGTCTTATTCCTCGAATTCTTAAACCCACTCATGTCTCTGCTTTCCATCATAGTTGGGTTCATTTCAGAACCAAGAGGTAACTTTTAAGTTAAAGCGTATGGTTTGTAGGCAACCATTTCAAATAGTAATTGCTAGAAACCTGCCTTTAAAGCATAGCCACTTAGTAAGCTGTGTAAAGTGGTGACATGAATTTCACAGTGAGGAAGCAGTTCAGTAAGAGCAGTCTGTTTTGAACCCCTTCTGCTCACTGGAAGCAAATGGGGGTTCTCGTTTTTAATTTTAGTAAGGATACTTGAATAAGTTTATAAGGATACTTTAGTAAGGAACCTCTTAAATGAATGACAAAATTTGTTATTAACAATTAGTTCAATTCTCTCTTTTTCAATATTGTTTTGGTGTAAAAGATCCTTTTTATTTACTATTTATCTTGAATAGAAAGTTTAGAGAAGAAAGTTTGAAAAATCATAAGATACACCGAATTGTTTATAAAACAGTTATTTCCTTCTAGTGTTTTCTGTTTCAGATGTATATAAAACATGCCCACATACATACATGTGCGCAGACACGTACATATTATCACATAGATAGAAATGTTCTCGCTGAAATCATACAGCAAAGTTTTGTGTCCTGATTATAACAGGATACAAAAAAAAATCATACCTCTCTCTTTGCTCTTTCTCCCTCTCCCTCCTGTGGGGATCTGAAGCCCACTCCCTTTCCTGATGTTCCCAGTTCAGCTTTTCTTGACATTTTTTTTGCATTATTACCTCCGAGAAAAATTTAATTTCTCCATGACAAGAGAGAATTGTGCTAAGGAATAAAACTTTTTGTTTGTTGGGTTTAGAGGGCTACAAACCTTTGAAATATCTAAGATTCTTGCCTTCCAAGAACCAATTTCCACCCCCTCCTCTCCCCCAGAGGGCGGGGGCGAGATGGCTCCCACTGAGAGTGCATGCCCCGGCACCACTGATGCTGGTTGCCTTTACATGAAGGTTGGGATGAGAATGGAGATGCCTGGCTTAAATTTGATAACCCTTGGAAGATCTGGATAAACTTAAATCACTCTTAATACTTAAGTATGTATCTCTTAGGAACAAGGAAGTTCCCTTACATAATCACAATGTCATTATCACACTGAAGAAAATGAGCCATCAGGGGCACCTGGGTGGCTCAGTCAGTTGAACGTCTGACTCTTGGTTTTGGCTCAGGTCATGATCTCAGGGTTGTGGGATTTAGTGCTTAGCCGTACCGGGCTCTGCGCTTAGTGGGGAGTCTGCTTGAGATTCTCTCTCTCCCTCTCCCTGTCTCTCTCAAATTAATTGATTGATTAATTTTAAAAAAGGAAAATTAGCAATTAGTCACATGTAATTTTTGGCTCATGTTCTGATTTCCTCAGGTATGTTTTATAGTTTTTTTTCCCTAATCCAGGAAGCCGGTCAGAGTTCACAGGTGGATTTCATGCCTCTTTAGTCTAATTTAGATTAGTCTTCCTTTTTTCATTTTTCATGGCAAAGGCTTTTTTTTGGGGGGTGATCTAGGCCAGTTGTCTTGTTTTATATCTATTCTAATTTTTAATTGAAGTGTAGTTGACACAATGTTATATTAGTTTCAGGAGTATAATTTAGTACTTTGACAATTCTTTAGTTATGCCATGCTCACCACAAGTTTAGGTACTTTTTCAATTTCCAGTATAGTTAACATACAGTGCTGTATTAGTTTCAGGTGTACAATGTAGTCAATATAGTGATTCAACCATTATAGAACATTGTATATTAATCAGTATGCATCACGGTAAGTGTGCTCTTAATCCCCTTTACCTGTTTCA